AAAAAAAAAAAAAAAAAAAAAAACAGAAAAAAAAAAATCTCTCTGTAAAACCTTACCCTTTGCCTTACCCCTTCGCCTTACCCCGGTCCATTCATTTTATGATTAATGTCATTAGGTCTCCAAAACAAAAATAGGAGAAAACACAGAGGTAATATAATCTGATAACCTGCATTCACAGGAGAAGGTTGTCCAGAGTCAATAAAGGAACATCTTTATTTTTTAATCATGCTACATTAATTAGTTTTTTTTTTTTTTTATATTAGTAGGCCTTCTAACTACAGGGTTTTCATCTTGGTAGCAGAATTTTTGACACCTGCCATGGTATGAAAATGATTGGGAAAATGTTGCTAGTTAAGATAACTAGACTTTTCCTGGGCTGAAAAAGTATTCTGAAGCTTTACTCACCACCAATTACATGTAATTACATATTATTATAGATATTCAATTCCATTCAATTTTATTTGTATAGCACTTTTAACAATGGGCATAGTCACAAAGCAGCTTTACATAAATATATAAATTCATGATATAAATTTTTGATTTATAAATATATCCCTAATGAGCAAGCCGGAGGTGATGGTGGCAAGGAAAAACCCCCTGAGATGACAGGAGGAAGAAACCTTGAGAGGAACCAGACTCAAAAGGGAACCCATCCTCATCTGGGTGACAACAGATAGTGCGATTATAAATAATTCCCTTCTATAACTGTGTCCTACATGGTCAAAAGGTGCAATTGTGTAAACAGGAAAATTTATTATAATTTTCATATGAAGTCTATTTTGTTGAAGTTATCAACTGTTCACTGATGGAGACTTTAGATATTATATCTATGTTTTTTTTTTACCTGCTGTTAAAAATAGAGAAATGCAGCCAAATGTCTCTTTCTCTATTCCTTTCAATTCTTTTGTGTTTGCTAAGATTATTCTGTCAAATTTCTTTTCCATTAGTCTTCCTATTTATGCTGCCATTTTTAGTGTTATTTTTTATTTCTCTCATTACCTCAATGTTCAGGCAGGAATAAATATGCCTCTGTTCCTGTGACCAGTCTTTATTATGAGATGTTATCTTGGGGAGGGGCTCAGGGCAGCTTTCATTAGCAAATGACTGGATTCAGTGTGGTCTGATGCCTCTGGGAATTTCAGTGTTTTATTCCCAGCACTGAATACAACCACAGTTCTGAACCCTTCACATAAGCACATATTTTACATACTTTTGGCAGCTATGAGAAATCCATATTTAACTCATTATGACTGACAGTTAAACATCACATACCTATATTTACAGTCTGTCCATTTTTGAAATCTTCAGCTTCAATTAAATTGCTCCATCGAGAAACCAGATTATTCCAGTCCATGGGTTCTGTCCTACTTATGTAGCAATGTGTTTGCTTTAACCAACAGAATGTTGAAGTTTGAACAGGAGAAATTAATAAAGCAGGAATAATGGCTGAATGAAAACATATTTGGAAGGTCACAGGGGTTCACCATAGCACTATATGAGTTTGTGTCCAAAGAGGGCTTTTTTTGTTCCTCTTTACTGGAGTTGGTTCCCTGGCAGGGAATCGAACCCAGGCTGCAGCAGAGAGTTCGCTGTGGCCTAACCACTAGTCCTCAAGGGACCATCAGAGGGCCTTTTTGTTTTCTCGAAATTCTTGTATTCAGAAATGTGTATCTAAAGTATAGGCAGTATTCACATGGAGTAAATTAACATCTTTCGCCTTCAAACACACTATAAACAGTTAATAAATCTCATAATTGCCATATTGTCTCTAAAGTTGATAAACTAAAGCTCAACAATTCAATATGACCAGACCCACAGCAAAATGCAGTTAAGAGACTATGTCTGTGTTGCACCAACAGATATGAAGCTTGAAATCAGATTAAATTGTAGTTTCTCTGGGTGATTCCATGATTGGCCAATTCAATTAACCACTCACGTGGCATGCTAAATTATGTAGATATTGGTCAAGATCTTCTCATCAAAAATCAGACTGGGGAAAAAGAAATGTGATGTCAGTGACTGTGGCCTAGTTATTGGTGACAGACTTACTGCTTTCAGTATTTGAGAAACTGCTGATCTCCCAGAATATTGATAAACAACAAGCTAGAGTTTACACAGAATGGTGTGAGAAACAAAGAACGTCCAGTGAGTGCAGTTCTGCAGGTGGAAATGTCTTGTTGATGAGAGACGTAAGAGGAGAATGGCCAGACTAGTTCAAGACAAGAAGACTACAGTAACTCTATAGTAACCACTCTTTACAACTGAGGTGAGCAGAAAAGCATCTCAGAACACAATAAGTCAAACCTTTAGGCAAATAGGCTACAACAGCAGAACACCACATCAGTTTTCATGTCTGCCTGCCAAGAACAGGGATCAATGGGCACAGGAAGATTGGAAAAAACCTAGGTGACATTTTTTCTGTCCAGTTTAGGTGAACACTGGCTAAAATTTTAATGAGAACATTTACATTAGTTATAAAAACTATCTCAGAGCAATGGACCAAAGGCTCCTAGTTTCATAACTTTCAGAAAACATTCTGCAAAACTAAGACTGTTAGCAGGGATTGCAGAAAATGAAATTTTTGTGAAAGGAAAGTTTTTATAATTTTAATCACTGATTTGTTAAGCCATTTTTAATATTAAATGATGCAATACACCTAATACTGAAATTAAACTAAGGTCAACATATCATCGTTATCCTGCAAACAGCTCAGGTTCTTCAGCACTATAGTCTTCCAGATGACGCTGTGTCAGACTGTGGGCCTCACATTCTGTTTCTGACAATTCATAATGTGTGCGCTGGAGAACTGGGGGAGTGAGCTTTGCTTTCAGGAGTTATCCTCAGCCCAATCAGCAAGTGGAAATCCAACCATATTTACTTGTTGTTTCTTGTGCTCCTCCTCCAGCTATTCTGCAGTTGCTTCTAGTAAGTTGCTGGATATGCCATTCTGCAGCTGTTGGCTTCTCAGGATGCTTGGATTCTCTACTGTCACACTTGTAAAGGTCACATTTGCAAGCTCTGAATTATTTCTGTGGCATTTATACATTGATAGACTTACACTTTTAGCACAAATGGACATGCATTTATGTGAATAAAAGTCCTGGGATAAACACAGGAGAGCCTTTCTTATTAGAGCGACAGAAGGCACAAGTCTACTGTATCCCATTTTTCTTTATTTGCCTTTATTCACTAAAGCTGGGGTGAGTCATGGACATAAACTGTTTTTGGGAAATACAAATCTTTAGGGTATCCATGTGGGACCATCCACATGGATCCACCACAACAGCAGAAGGTGAGTCAGAGCATCAGGATGAATCAGGCAGGTCCAAAGGATGAAATTAACAGATTATTTAGCTATGCTCCTCTCATACACTGGTTTATAATGTGCACAATATGTAGTAAAAATGCACGTGACTAAATTGATAAACTGAGCTAAGTCTCCACTGTTGGCAGGATTTTATTTAATTAAAGTATACTTACAGAGACATAGTGGGACCCATTGTCACCTTTTACCAAAACATTAGTGTAAGACAATTCCATATTGCACATATATTTTGGATGTACATTATATGGCCTAAAGTTTTTGGATACCTGTCCATCATACCCTTATGTGCTTTTGGAACATCCCATTCCAGATTTATTCCTCTGTTGCTGTTATAATAATCTCCACTCTTCTGGGAAGGCTTTTCACTAGATTTTGGAACATGACTATGAGGATATGTGATCATTCAGCCATGAGAGCATTAGTGAGGTCAGGCACTGATGTCAGGTGAGGAGGCCTAGGGTGCAGTCAGCATTCCAGTTCGTCCCAAAGGGGTTCAGTGGGGTTGGAGTCAGGGCTCTGTGCAGGCCACTCGAGTTCTTCCACTCCAACCTTGGTAAACTATGTCTTCATGGACCTTGCTTTGTGCACAGGGACATTGTCATGCTGGAACAAGTTTGGGCCCCTTAGTTCCAGTGAAGTTTGTGTTACAGCATACAAAGACATTCTGTACAACTGTGAGCTTCCAAATTTGTGGCAACAGTTTGGGGAAGGCCCAAATATGGGTGTGATGGTCTGGTGCCCTCAAACATTTGGCCATATCGTGTATTTAATTTTGGATGGATCTATCCATAACAGAGACTGAACTAGATTTACTTAAGCTCTGTCTATCCATTAAATAGCCTGTTTTCTTGAGACAAGGGAACAAACAATGCAAAATTTGCAACTCAAAATAGCAAATAGAGAGCATAGACAAAATAAATGATGATATTTGATATTTCATTGCCCCAACATTTGCATGAAAAATGTATTTTAGTGGACTCCCTACTACGCAACTAAATCTGGATCCTAAATCCTAAAGAAGTTTGCAGATGCCTAACTGAATTAACCTGGCTGTAATGAGCACAGCCTATCTGGCCTGTAAATTTTTCTTGTATTCATTAAACAATAGTACAAAGAAGGAGGCCCAGGACTCCTAATTATCATAGCTCAGCCTCTTAACCTTGGCTATTCCTTCGGAGACTGTCCTGTTGTTTGGGTAAAGAAGATTTGCTCGTTCTTCAGCTTCTTGGATATGATGGAGATGAGAGTGGCATGGATTTCTTTTCACTAAATTCATTATAAACTATTATAAATTATGTTGTTTTTTTTTTTACACATGAATTCACATGCCAGTGCATATACAGGGGGTCTCAAACTACTTCAGCCTTTGACAAACCCTGCCATGTTGGTGGCTTGGTCACTATGGTGATAGCAATGCTTTGAGTCCTAATTGAGGAGAATGGAGTGGAGAGAGAGAGAGACAGACCTCATGTGGAGATCATTGAGTTGAACAGCTTGAGAGCCACAGAGAGAAAACCGGCATCTCTGTCAAGTAGAGAACACAAAGCAATATAAAAAAGAGAGAGCTGCTATCTTCAGCACTCAGATTGATGAAACTTTTTCACACTGATGGATTACGCCATTTTAGACTGCTTCCTGCTGTGAAGACACAAACCAAGAGTTTCTCTCCACAGCAATTCTTCTTTGTTCCTCTCTGTTTCAGTTTTTTTTTAAAAATCAGCATTAAAGTATATTACAAGTATCACCTCCTAAACTGTGTTGCTCAAATATCTGTAGTCCCATATATCACAATATTGCCCAGAATTCAACATGCTATATACAGTATATGCTGTATGTATTGATTTCAGTATTTATCCAGGATACAGCTATTGTTTTCAATCAATGATAAAATAAAGTGTTCATTCTAACATTCTTTCATTCTAATAATATATGAAGCCTCTCTTATTAGATGCTTCACTTCTTACAAAATTTCCAAAGGGCCAACTTTCAGATTGACCAAAAAACAGTAATAATGTGACTATGTGTGAATAGGTCTACATACCATAATGGATATTAGTTAATTCTGAGAAAGATACTGATACAAGTTGTTACTTTATGAGTGATCAAGTGACAAAGTGATATTTACAATAAGTATAATTTTAAATATTAAAACATTATTTTGGAATCAAAGAAGGGAATTTATTATTGAGCATGTTTTTTTTTCTTTCTGTGTCTGACTCATGGCTCTAGGCCAAGAAGGTTAAAGTAATGTCAGCACCGGAGTATTGCAGAGATCTTTCTCAAGTGCCATCTAAATAATAAAAAAAACCCTCCAGTTTCGACAAACTGTTATTTCTCTGTTTCTTTGTTCCTCTCTGCATGCAATGTCTCGAAATCACCATATAAATTTCCTTTTGTTTTTCCAGGTCTCCTGCACCATGTTGTGTTTTTTCTTTCCTTCACAGCCCAACTCAAAGGCATGCTCAGTTTCCATGGCAACAGCAATCGTTTGAGCGAGCAATGAAGCGAGTTACATTTGCATTTTTACCTTAAGCAGTAGCTGTCCACACAAACATATATCAATTCAATGATGCTTTGAGCTCAATGGAATAAAAGGATTAAGGACTGAGTCTCCAGTTCATTGTGTGACATTGAGCATGTTTACTCTGTACATTAACTACAGTTATTCATATGCCTATATAATGGATGTGAATAGAAACTCGGCAAAAATAATTGGGTTAAGTTAGTATTGCTAATGTTTGTAAATAAATTCATAGAGCAGAAGACTCTGGAAAGACAACCTGTAGATATGTTCATAGCTAATGAGTCAATTTACAAGTCATTACTGTTATTATTAAAGTGTGGGATTCAGACACATAAGTAAGGAACGAAGCAAAAGAAACAAAAGAAAAGAGATGTGGAGTCCATTGAGTCTCTCTCTCTCTCTCTCTCTCTCTCTCTCTCTCTCTCTGGTGACCCTGGTAACAGAAGTGAAGAGTTGATTCCAAATCCATTTGGTTTGTGAGGAGACTTCAAAACACTGAAAGGGCCACTGAAAGACACTGATGAGGACTCAATGGCTGTTTAAGAGCCAGAAAGCACGATCTGAGAGAACCACAGCCACCTTCACATATATGGCATCATACATGAAAAGTATCATAGTGTGTATACTCAAAGAGAAGTGCCATATGTTCACTGCTAATTAAAAACAAATGACAAGATTTGGTACTAAGGCAAAAAAGCTGCTTTTTCTTACAGTTGTCAATTTTCAGATTTTTGGAAATTTTCCATTTTTTTAATACTTCCCTAAATAG